ATGGGTTTGGATCTAACATCATTAAAAAAAGTGAATGAAAATAATCCTTACATTATTAGGCTGAAATCTCATGATTATCAAATTCTGATTATGCTAGTGATGCGTCAGCATTGAATGTGTTTGAGGGCGAGAATGATTAAAAAATCTTTATAAATGACTTGCAAAATAAGATTTGTATTTGTTATAGTCGTATTATATATATATATTATGTTCTAGTTTTTCAGGATGTCATTTTTTTGGATTGCATTGCTCCATCTTATAGCTATTGTGATAGGCCATGGATATGACAGTGGTGACGAGCCACCACATCCGTTCGTTGGAGGTTTTGATGATCACTAGATTGATGGTAATTAAGATTTATTCTGATTCATTGTATTTCATATTTTATGAATATAAAAAATTATCCTGACTAATATTTTTTTACGTAGTTGTACCTCCAAAACAAAGAGGCATGTCAGTAAACAAAATAATGTATAAGTTATTTGAAGCAAACGACATGAATACTTTCATGTCGGTTGGGGAAGTATATGAATGCTTCATTCGGGAGGTTGGAAATTATATGTGGCGTGGCATCGCTTTGGATAAGAACGTCTGGAAAGAAGTTTCTAAAGCCGAAAGGAATGGCATGCTCCATTATCTTTCGATAAATTATTTATAAAGTTATATTTAATATGTTTAAATTTGATTTATTTTTAACTTCTCTATTTTTTGTAGGCATGGTTTTATTTTCAAAAGATTTCAAATGATCCCATCGCTTCAGTTTCCGGGTGTCACTAAACAATCAAATATGTGCGCAGTACAAAGGCTACAAACGTATTGTAAAAAACTCATTTCATTGATTTGCAAGGGGATGTCGAGGCATAAAGTGATCAGCCCCCCATGGGTATGGATCTGTATCATTGTATCATTGTTGTACCAGTATTAACCACATCCTAACATATAAGCATAAATAACGATATCTAGTGAAAACACAGAATGCCCAAAGAAGCAAGTAGTTAAGAATCATGGAGGGACGTACAACTACGGTGGTGCTTCTTTTAAGAACGTAAGTTACAGTAATGTTTATTCATTTATACCATATTTTGTAATGTTTATTTAAGAATAACATATTTTGTAATGTTAAACAAAATTAGAATACACTTGAAGCATTTCACCTTGGGCATGTCAATAAACAATGGAAATTTGTTGACCAGTTAGTCAAAGACCAATATGTAAGTTTTTATTACTTAAAAATGAAGTAGAGTGTTGCTTTTTTGTTTTAGTTTTGAAGTATATTGACGATCTTCATGAAATACAAAATGCTTTAGTTAGTGAGATTGCTTTACAAACTCCGCACATAACTGACTCTGGTGGTGATCTGAGCTCCATTGATTGGATAACTGGATTTGTGAAGGTGTTAGGTGCTCGAAGGGGACATGTGAGAGGCATCGGGCCTAAACCTCCTTCCGCAACGGGTACATGTGCTCCCTCTGCAGTGGCAGTGGCAGTCACACTTATAGACACAAGCACTACAACCAACATAGGTACTTATTAAACACATAAAGAATTTGGTAGCTTGGTACTTCGCTATATTGTTAAGAACTTGATGCATTTATATTAAATTTTGTTGGTTAAATACTTTGCTTATTTGTTAAGTGCTTAATTCATTTGTCATAAATTTGGTAGTTTGGTAGTGTGGTAGTTTGTTAAATTGTTAAAGACATAATTGATTTGGTAGTTTGATAGTTTGTTAAATTGTTAAATACTTAATTAGTTTGGTGGTTTGATAGATTGTTAAATTCTTAATGACTTAATGTGCTTGTGACTTAATCGTTAAGTAACAATATTTTTTTTAGTTTGATATTTTAATTTATATACTTACTTTGTAGGATGTGGATGCTAACATTTTTTTCCAAACCCCGATGTTTATGAAAGCAATTGGAGATAATATTCCCTCGTTTAAGAACCAAGTCAACAACACGGGCAACAACGATGCAGAAGAACAACGATGGGGAAGACGAAACAACGATGGGGAAGATGAAGACGCATAATATTTCTTATTTTATGTTATGGATGATGTTATTATGTATTTAATAGATAATTTATGGATGGGATTGACTAGTATTTCTTGTTTATTTGATCGTTTATGTAATGTGGTATATTTGATGTTTTATGTAATGTAATATATATTGTTTTATGTTATTTAATGTTTTATGTAATGTAGATTTGTAGATTATGATTTATGTATTTTTTTTTTTAAATTCTACATTTTATAATATATATAAACTAGTATCATATATAAATTGTATTAAAAAAAAATTAGCGGCGACAACTTTTGAGACGACCTATACCAATTGCGATGACGCGTGCATCGGGAAGCTTAGCCGGAAAAAACTGACCAATGTAGACGACACTAATAGTGTCTATGAGGACTTTTAGCGATGCCAACTATTAGAGACGACAATGATTGCGCTGATTTTTGAGTATTAGCTATGAGTAAATAGCAGTGATTCTTTTGCAACGACTTGTCGCCGCTAAAGGTATTAACGATGATTTGAGGCGTCAACTGCAATGTTATTTGTTATCGTTAAGGTAATTTTCTTTTGGTGATAAGTGAACCGGAACTTTTTAAAATGACAGAAATTATGCATGTTTTGAGACTAAATTTGAAAAACGGTTCACTATAAAAAATTACATAAACAATCCTCATGTAATATAAAATTACAGAAATAGTCTCTTTATAGATTAAAAAAATTGTAGAAATGGTTCTTGTTGACAAAATATTTCATAAATGTTCCATATAAAAAATATGGAAATGAATCCCATCTAACGAAGTTACAGTAACGAACCTATGTAAGAGAAAGTTACCAAAATGGAGCTTAATTTTGTAATAACGAAAGTTTTTTCTTACTATTTTGGTTTATACCAAACTTTTGTGTTACTTTTTTAAAGCCTGTTTGTTTGGGTCTTCATATCTCTAAAAAAGAGACACATCTGAATTTATAAAATGTGGAAGAAACTTCATTTATTATTTGAATTCCAAAAAAAGATCTAACCGAATCATATATAAACCTATGTTTGAAATTTTTTTTGTTTGACACCTTCCAAATATGCCCCGACTTAAACATGCATTTCATCTTCTCCTCTGCATCGCTTTCTTCTTCGACCGTCTCCAATTCTCCACATTGTTCGCATCTCTGACCATCTCCCTCTAGGTCACCGCCGTCACTAGTCCTTGAACCTCCTCCACCAAGTTCCTCCATCGACCCTCACACCCTTCTCTAACAAATATGTCGCCGCCAGCTTCGCTTCCTTCTCCAGCGACTCCAATATGTTGTTTTAAGTAACCCTTTTCTTTTATGTTTCTCCTAAAAATCGATTCTTATACATTGATTTGTTCTTTTTTACCCTGAAGTCGATTATCAGCATGCCATGATTCATATGGTCTGACCACTTTATCAACATACATTGACTGATTTTGGAGATAGTTATTACTCACTCCGTCCCAAAATTATTGTTCATAGACAAAAAAACACACAGATTAAGGAAATATTAATTATCACTAACTTCATATAATAAAATGAAAGTTTTGTCATTGCTTGGTATTTAATGCTCCATTAAATGCTTAGTTGATTAAGTAATAATGAGAGGGTATTTTGGTAAATATGTTATTTATTTTTAGAAGTGAACTTTTATTTTGGGATAAACCAAAAAGTAAAGATGGATTATAATTTTGGGACGGAGGAAGTATTTTATTTCTTAAATTGGAGTACATCTTGTTCAAAATCTATTATGGATGAATTTTTGTTGAAGGAATGCCTATATGTGAAGCATTTGCACAGATATAACAACAACCCAGCAGCTATGATGTTCATGTCAAGTAGTTTGATGAGGTTTGTGTTGATAAACACAAATTAGGAAGGTAATGAAGTTTTCTTTTAATGGCATTTTATTAACACTTGATACTTCTTTTATACAGGATACATTAAGGTTGGATGTTGTTATAAGCTTTCGAGATCATGTCTTTCACCTTTGTTTTGATACCCAATGTGTTGTTGTGTGGTATGTTTTGTAATGCAACTTACATTGAACATTTGATTTTAAATGACATACAAACAGTTTTTTATACATAGTGTTAATAAATTATTATTTTTTTTTGTTGGGTTTTCAGGTGAAAGAGAAGAAGATTTTGCAAGCTTATTTTTCTGAAGTTGTCAAAGTTGGTTATCATTTATGTCTCAACATTATTTGGATATAGATATATTGAAGACTAAAAGTTCAAATTAAAGTATACCAAGATCAAAGCTCATATCTTGGTTTGAAAATTTTTGACCTTGTATTTAACTTTGAAACCCTTGGGACATACAAAAAATAATAGTTATTTTTGTGAACTTATCTGAAAAGATCATTACAAATTAATGAAGATAAATTTTGATTTATATTAATTTAGAATTTGTATGGTGTTTATCTTTTTTTTTATTCAGCAAAAAATAATATAAAATGATAAAATGGTCATTTTCATAATTCAGCACGATAATTCAGAGGTTCCAACCAAACAACATCTAAAAATCAAGATCTTAGAAATCCGGACCCTCTTAGAAATTCATACGTCTTAAAAATTCAAATCTTAAATATTCAGATCTAGCCAAACAACCTGTAAGTCGAATATACAAGATTAAATAAACCGCGTGCCACACGAAAATCCGGTTACTTATCAACAATAACAACAACATTGTTTGTCATGGGGATCCTTTATTCCTTTTCTTTTAATAAAAAATAGAAAAGGTAGTATAAAGATTTCACACAGAATTTATCCACATTGACTACTCTCATAAGAAAATAGAATAGTAGTTAAAAAAAGTTGGATTTGGAACGAAATAATGATATAAACATATGGATCATCTTATTTAATTTACTCTATTTGATAATACACAATGATGAATTTTAACGACATAAAATCTTGTAGTCAAACTGGATTTGCGTAACGAATCATGTGATGCTACTCTTTGTTACGTTCACATCATCACAAAATCGTTGCAACAACTAAAACAATTTCGTTTATAATGTTTTCATTTCAAATTACGTTTTCATCTATCTTTTCTTTTCATAACGATAAACTGTATAATTGGTGTTCAATTTCATTCCAAACACAATTCTACAAGAGAAAATAAACATACACCAATCTCGAAGTCGTTGAATAATAAACCCCAATATTTCCTTCTTATTATTTCATATACAATCTACCTCTTAATTTCCCTCGTTCCCCTATGCCAATGGAGACCATGACAAGGGAACCGAATCTTTTCAGGAGTCAATGGTGGAACAGTTTCTTCAAAATTGCACAAGTTGGTCTACGAATTTTAGTAACCGGATTTGCAACAACTTCTATTGCCACGATGTTGACTAGCAATCAAGAAATCTACATGCCTTACGATGAGACATATATAGCAGTTGCGAAAGCCCATTACAGTTACTCATCAGGATTATGGTGATGACATTATGATTTGATATGATAAATATACATGCAACATGCTTTTTTGATGTTTTTGTTTTCATTTGCTAAATTATAACGAGACGTAATGTAGGTACAAATTGTTAGTAGATGCAGCGTTAGGTGTTTTCTCTCTACTCTCATCGATTCTAGCATACAAGATGACGAAATTCTCTCATACGGAACCTAAAACAACTCTTCACTTTTTCCTGCTTCTCGTTGATGGGGTACGTTTGCCATTAGAAAATGTCGATAGTTTATTTATTTCTTGTTAGTGTGGTTTGATAGAAATAACAAAGCAGAAAAGGACATTAAATCAAGAAACCTTAAATATACTATGTGAATTGTGATACAATACAATAAGTGCAGGTGATGACGGTGTTGACTATCTCAGGATGCGCGGCAGCATCAGCCGTGGGGATGGTGGCGCTACGAGGGGTTGAAAAGCCAGGGATTAGCTGGACTCCAATATGTCCACTCGCCAGAAAATTCTGTGGCATGATCACCCTCTCCATTGCATCATCTTATGCTTCATTCACTTGCATGATGGCACTCACTTTCCTCTCAGCATGCAAGCTCATGCTACTAGCAACACACTAAAGGGATCGTATATATAAATGTATTGATTTGACGTTTATTTGTTATTAAATTACGTTTTAACTGAAGAAATTGAAAGTCTTCAAGCTTTAACGAATTAATATTGAATGCCATATTTTGTTTATTTATATCAATTGGAATTTTTTATGTTATATCTCATCAATAATATTATAACATTTTGTATTCCAAAAAGTAATCGCATTATTCAAGGAATATCAATTGCTATAAAGTTATAAAATGTAGCAATGGATTATTGTCACTAATGCTTGAAAGTACCTGTATGGAAATTTTTATTACCGTTCGGTATTGTAACGGAAATTTTGTAATGATATTGTATGACGTCGACTGTTGTAAAAACCGTAAAATATTAGCGATTTCTAGCAACAAGTGTAACATATTAGTTGTCGCAAAGTGATAAAATTTGAAATTTTCACTATAGATAAACTAAGATAAACTAAGAGGTGTTTGGCAAAAAACTTATTACTTATTGGCTTATAAGTTAATATGTTAGAATCAGTTAACTTATAAAAAAAATAACTTATTATCGTTTGTCACAGCTACAAGCTATTTTTACTCAAAAACTTTTTTGGATTATAGTGTAATGAAATCCTTAATAAACTAAGGTGTTTTGCTAAACATCCTCTAACTTTCACACACGACCATCCCCATCATTTGATATGTGTGTAGAGCGTCTAACAAACACAATATCCAGGATTAAATTTTTCACGATTCAAGAGGCTACTGTATTTGAATTGATTTCTGCAAATTTTGTGCTATCAAAAATCTCATTCTGCCACCATCCTTCCGCCCCTCTTTACAATTTTCCCACCGGATACGCTCCATCAATTTTTCACTCTTTCTGTAAATCGTATGCTAAATGCTTCGAATGCTGCAAATCACATGCTAGCAAGAAATCGAAGAAGTTGGGATGGATCTAGGGTTTTGTTCATGTAGATTATTGCATTTGATCCCTTATTTAAATTGATTTTTAGAGTTTGTAATGTTTTTTGTTTCGGAAATTGTTTGGAAAATGACATCCAGTTTCAAAAATGAATTGACCAAAAAGATTTGGTTTGGGCAATTGTTTTTTCTTAACAGTTTGTTTGGGTTTTTTTCCATTGTTAGATCTTAGATTTCAACAGGTTTTTGATATATTTTCGGAGTGGGGATGGGATTATGTGGTGGTGGTTGCTACAGGTTACTACCAGAGGTGATGGTCGTAAATCTAACGAGGTGGTTTTCGGTAATGGGAGGAAGAGATACGGAGGAAAGTGGTTTTCTGATGGTCAAGAAGGAGACACAAATGGTGGCTGGTGGTAGTGGGCCCATTTTATTTTATTTTATCATTAATTAAAATAAAACCAATAATAAAAATAGTTGAAACATAAAGGAGAAAACTGTCCTTTTACGTTGGTCAGGTGAAAGATCCAGTTAATGGTTTGGTCTAGAATTTCGTTTGGTCTAGAATTTCGTTTGTAATAGGTTCTTTTAAATACATATGCATTTTCTGTTAGTTTGTGTGTGTAGTTTACGGCCGTAAGCTTGTTTACGGTCGTAAACCCAAGGATGGCCCAGGTCCACTATATATAGATGCTAGCTAGGTCATTTAATAGTTGTTGATGCCACAGAGTTTACGGTAGACATTCACAAGTTGTACCAGACGTCTTTTATCAATAGAAGCGTGTGCAAGCTTTTTCTGATTTCTGTTTCTTCTTCATTCTCGTTGTTATTCATTGTTTTGGTTGTTTGATCACTGCTAAGATCTGTTTCAGGACCTTACAATTGGTATCAGAGCCAAACCAGTGTCAAAGCATCCTACAATAGAATTTTTGATCGTATTCTTCATTTTTTACGACTGAAGTTGGTGTCTGATGCGAAAGGGTTTCAAGCTTAATTCAAAATTTGCGTTTTTCTCAAATTTCTGGGAGATTACGGCCAGAGCTTACGGCCTTAAACACAGATTACGGCTGCAATCTCAACTCAGTTCTTGAACCGTCAACTTGGTTCTTAGGCCTTGAATAAGGCTTCTTGAACAACTGGAAACTTGGACTCATAGACCGTAAATAGAAACCGCAAACTCTTTACAACCGTAAACTCCCGATCGTAAACAGAGTTTACGGCCGTAAACACTCTTTTGACCGTGAACTATTGTTTGACCGGAAACTCAAATTCTTTTTAAATTAATAACTTAATTTCTACTTAAACTAATTTTAAATGGATTCACAAAGTCAAACACATCACCATGAGCTAGACTCTATAATGGGCACAACCACTCGAATTCCAAGACAGCTGTCTGCTCAAGGTTTTCCTGAATGGAAGTACAAGATTGAGCAGTATATCAAAATGAAGGACTTCAAAATTTGGAGAAGCATCGTAAAAAATCATGTCAGAATAACCACCACTGTTGCAGGGCAAGTTGTTGACAAAATAATTGAGAATTAGATTGATGAAGACTTTGAGAAGGTTGAAGAGCAAGAAAGGGCTTTAACCACTCTAACCATGGCCCTGTCTCTGGATATAGCTCAAGGTTTTAGGGAGTATACTTCAGCAAAGGCTTTGTGGGAAGCCCTAATTGAAGTATATGAAAGGAATGAAGATATGAAGGAGAATCGCCAGGACATGCTGCGTTAAAGGTTCAACATGTTCAGTTACATTCCCGGTGAGACCCTGGAGGCGCGGCTTCAACGATTCACAACTCTCACCACTGAGATGAGCATAGCTGGAATCTTCTTGATAAAGTCTGAAATAAACAAGAAGCTACTAAATGCCCTTCCAAAGTCATGGGACATGAATGTAGCAGTTATCAAGAAGACCAAAGACTTAAATCGCCTTACTCTCGCTGAAGTGATGGCAATCATCAAGGCGTGTGATATTGATGATTAACATCGGGAGATAAACCATGTGAATTCGTACTCAACTGCAAACCTTGGAATATCATCTAACAATGCTCTTTCATCTCTCACATTTTCTTCTGCAGGTCAGCCATTTGCTGCTCAGCATGCTCAGATTCAGTCGTTTTCCACCCCATCAGCTACTTCACTTCCCGATGCATCAACTATGCCTTTCTCTTAGAACCAATCATTCGCTGCTACTCAAGCTGCTTCTCCTTCAACTGTGGCCTCTTCCTCAAACAACAAGGAGGGTGATGAAAATCTTGCTCTCGCTACAAGACTTGTTAACTGCTACAATGCTCTTCTAGCTGGAGATCTTCGGCCACAACTGTCATTTGCTGATATTGATCAGATTCATCCTGAAGATGTCGAAGAAATGGATATTACATGGCAAATTGCCATGGCAGTTTTTAGGGAAAAGCAATTTGCGAAGAATACCGGGAAGAATAACTGGGGGATGAGTGCTGATAAAAAGGTAGGGTTCAGCAAGGGAAAGCTACGTTGTTTCAACGTCCTCGAGCCATATCATTTTGCTCATGAGTGCTCGTAGATGGATAGAAGATTGAATAATGACCGAACAATGGTTGCAGTAGGGAACAATCGAAGCGTTGCTCAGGTCAATAGTGAGAAGGCCATGGTTGCTCAGTCATTTGAATGGGAGGATCAGATGCAGACCCTGAATATATCAAGACCTGAAAATTCTCATTTGGCTCAAGTTGGTGGTGAAGCTTCCGCAGATAGTATTGTAGTTAAAGATCAAATGATGGAGCTGCAGTTAGCATTGATGGTATCTTCTACTTCTGACTCGAAGAAAAGCGAGGTAAGTTTGCCTTCATAGTCTCAAGCTTGTATTGAATATGTTAAAAATTTTCATGAGGAAATTGAAACACTGCATAGAGAAGTAGAGGACCTTAAATATGAGGTCTATCAACTTATAAAAGGACAAAAACCTCTTAAGGCCCAGTTAGAAACTAAAATAAAGGACTTTAGAAGACTTCAGGAAGACGATAGTAATAAATGTGAAAATTATGATTACATAAAGAGACAGAATGCCGAGTTAGTTACTGAACTTGAAACATTAAAGGGCAAATTTGAAACTGCTGATTTTGATTTTAGAAAGTTTGATGTTTCAAGTGAGGTAGTTGCCAATATGATAGGCCACTACATGTAATTTAAACATAATCAGTCAAAGGATCTAGGGTATGATAAAGTGCCTCCTCCTTTCAACCATTCATATCAATTTCAACCTTTGTCCAAGGAGGAGATTGCCAATGAACCATTCATGGTTTATGGAAAGTCGTATGGTTTTGTTTCGGGAGGATTTATTAATGTTGAAAGTACTAATATTTCTACTTCTCCTGCAGATCATTCCTTAAATAAGTCAAAGCACGATGTTGAAGGATCTATTTTAGAAAGTAAAATTGAGTCTGAACCTGAAGTTTTAGTTTTAAATAAAGCCTTTAATTTTTCTGATGTAGAAAGTGACAATGTTTTTAGAGAATTTATTGCACCTTCTGATACCGGTTTGAATGTTTTTAAAGTGTTTGATGATGTGGTTGACAATTCTGATGTTTATGCTAATACTAATGAAAAACCACCAGTTTCACAAGTTTTTCTATCTGATACACCCTCACTTGTCTCACAACCTAATTCTTGTTCGTGTTCATGTGAGAAAAGCAAGGGTGTTGGTATGGAAAACAAATCTGAAAAATGCAGTATAGGTTTTAACAATAACAAACAAATTTGTTTCAACTGTGGTGTTGGTGCTCATATAGCTAGGAATTGTCCTAATAGAATGTTTGTACATTTTGAGTCATCAAGAGAAGAGAATGAATATAGAGGAAGGTCTTTAACTAGAAAGTCCTCTAGAATTCGTTCTCGGAATGATGATTGGAAGGATGATCGTAGTAGAAAATGGGTTGTGTTTCAAAAGCATAAAAGGTCTTTCATAACAAAGTCCCAAACAGTTTTACAAAACCGAACATGGCTAAGCCAACGTTGGTTGTGTCAAGAAGTAGCAATGGGACTTCAACCAATTTAGATATAAATCCCAAGTGCTCAAACCAAACTGATAAAAAAAACATATTTCAAAACCATTTGGGACTGTTAGAAAACCTAATTATCAATGGTTGCCCAAAATAACCTCCAATCCATCATGTGTATCCTCTGAAAAATTTGTAAATAATGATAAATTTGAAAAGTCAATGGGACAACCCAGGAAACTAATGAATTGGGTTCCCAAATCTAAATAAACCCTCACATTTTGCAGGGACAGTTGCGGGGGAATATCGCTAGACCTTGGTTCGTCGACAGCGGCTG